CAAAAGAAAGCTATCTTACACACTCATTTCCCTCTTTTGTCTCCTTCACCAGTTCCTCCAAATTTTAGATTTTGACTTGACAATCATAGCATGGGGCGATAATTTATTTGGATAAAGTTAATCGTTTATATAACATATATGTATACGATTATGATGGTATGTATCGTCCAGCGAAGTCATTATACAGTTTTGAATTATTTAAATTATATTCACTCATTTCACTTTCAATTGAATATTACAAATGTCATCTCAAAATCCAATAATTTGATGTGCATTGTGTAAGTATAACTAATTTGACAACAAAGTGTTTAGTAGTCGTAATCTACAGGTGACAAGTAATATGAAATGAAAAGAGTATATATAATTATATATAATGACCAGGCCATCGAAGTGTCAGTAGCACTACCGGACGACTTTGGGGAGTTTTTAAGGGGGAGATGACCAAGTCGTAGGTTACTTTAAATTTTCATTTGTCAAAGATAATAGATTATCTTTCATATTAACTTTGACCCATATTAGGCTACGTAACTTTGGAATATAAACTAATTAAATACTTGGCTGCTTTAATTGAAATCCAAATTTGTTTCAGTATTTGAAAATGTGATTGCATATTAGGGATTGGTTAGGTATGACTGAGATGTAGATGGAACTGTCAATTTTCAATACCGGGGGCTCAAGTGTTCTTAACGTATCATTTTCAACTTCTACACCCCAAGACAAAAACCCTTTTAATTTCTAGTTATGTCTTTGTAGTTGTACAACGGTACACCAAAACCATATCACGTGTCATCTCCCTTGGATTGTCACCGCACGAGTGGGCTCGAATCTCATGTTAACCACTACTTAATATTCGTGTCATGTCTATGTTTTGCCTTTGTAACCATTTAATATGGAATCTATACAACGTGACCTTGCCTACTTTTCTTTATATTTCTCGGTAGTTCTGATTTTTTTTTCTGTTAATACTAAATATAGTTGCTAAAAGGTTATACATAAAGACATCATAATCTTGATTTATAACCTTCTAAACCCCGGACATTCTTTATATTTTAAAAGGTTTGATTATGTTCGAATCTTGGATAAAGAGGATGGAACCAACAATTTTCTGACTTGAAAATATCTAGATTTTAAAGATAAAAACCGATTAGTTTTTATTTATTTATTTTGCGGACTAATCTTCTCAAACTTCAGTTTCATGAGCTAACGTTTGATTCATGATTTATAATATCCAGCCAAATTAAAGTGGATTCTAGATTAGACTAAAAATTTTGAGCCCTAAAAATTTGTAGAAAGGTAATGGGTTGGAATCCCTTTCAAACTCCGGATCAAACTAGTGTGATTTGGTTTATATCCTTACTTATAGGGTGTAACTGAGAGTAATTAATTAGAAGAAAAAGGAAGAAAATGAATGAGAAGAATTTAGAAGAAAAGAAAAATGAAAGTTGGAAGAAATTTTTTTTTATTATGGGTGTGACTCGTTAAAGTTAAAAAAAAAAAGAGAAGAAAAAAGGTAGAAAAAAAGAGAAGAAAATAAAATTAAAATGTAGAAGAATTATTTCTACTATATAATTGTAGTAGGAAGTTTTAATCTTTTTTATGTTACTTTTGAGATGAATTGGGAAGAAAACAATTCTTTCAAATTTTATTTGACTGGTTAACTTTTAGAAGAAAATAGAAGAATTGTAATTGGGAAAAATGTCATTAAAATCCCCAACTTATTCAAAACGTTGATTTAAATCCTCAACTCACGACGAAACGAAATAAATATCAAACTTATGTTGACTTTCCAAATAAATATTAAACTTATGTTGACTTTCCAAATAAACACCAAACTTTCATTGACTTGGCCATATTAGGCATGACGTTAAGTGAGTTAACAGACAATGTTAACGGGATTAATTTTCTATTAACAGATCCGCTAATTAAAAATGACAGTATTGTTGAACTATAATCAAATCTCATCTAAGTCATATAACCTAAAATCGTATTCCTATAAGTTAGTTATTTACGTAAGAGTCACGAATGTACGTACGTATAGTTGTGTCTGTTCGTAAAGTTGTGTCTTTTCGATTAACACATGTACGTATACGCTGTTTCGTGTTGTATAAGTAGATCGAGTCAAACTCAATAACATCATTGTTTGTAATACATTTTCTCTTATCAATAAAAATCAAGTTTCTTCATATTCTATTTTTCATTTTGGTTTTGTTCTTCATACTCTGTTAAAACAGAGTTCGTTTGTTGATCAAAAAACTAACAAGTATTCCTTCTAAACATAAAACGACGTTGTTTTGTATTAACTGTTCAATAAAATCCCGAGTTTCAAATCATACTCTATTTAGGGTTAGGGATTTTGCTCGATTTGGGGATCTAAGATTGACTTTAGGGATTTAATTCAATCGTTACGACAAAACGACGTCGTTTTGTTGTTATATGAAACAATGTCGTTATCAATTAACATATATGCTAACAGAAAATTACCTCCGTTTACGAGATCTATTAACTCATTTAACGTCGTACCTAATATGGCCAGGTCAACGGAAGTTTGATATTTATTTGGAAAGTCAACATAAGTTTGATATTTATTTGGAAAGTCAACATAAGTTTGATATTTATTTCGTTTTGTCATGAGTTGAGAATTTAGTAACTCACTTAACGTCGTACCTAATATGATCAGGTCAACGGAAGTTTGATATTTATTTGGAAAGTCAATGAAAGTTTGTGTTTATTTGGAAAGTTAACAAAAGTTTAATATTTATTTGGAAAGTCAACATAAGTTTGATATTTATTTTGTTTCGTCATGAGTTGAGGATTTAAATCAACGTTTTGAATAAGTTGGGGATTTTAACGACATTTTTCCCAATTGTAATTCTTCTCTTTATTTTTCTTCTATAAGATGCTAACAGTCACATCCTATGTATTTACAGGATGAATCTTTTCATTTGTTTCTCCTAAAAGTAGAAGAATCGAGAAGAATTTGGTGGACAACAAATATTTTTTGACTGGCAAAAAAAATAAACTAATTGAAAATATTTTTATTTCTTCTCATTTATTTTCCTCTATCTAAGCTAACCACTAGAACAATTAATTTTACGTCAAGAAAAACTATTTCCTTGACAATGATCTTCTCAGAAAACAATATGGATAAGATAGTATTAGAAACTCGCTAACTGACCAAGTGAACTGTTTGCACCACTGTAAAGTCAGATCTGACTTGAGTGTCATGTCTCAATTTCTCCTGCTCATCTAGCTTTAAGTAGCATAATCCATTTAGTAAATAATTTAATTGGAAATTGATGAACTAGTAGTAAATTTAAATCACGTTGTTTTTTTTTGGGTTTATGTTCATATTAGTAAATTTAAAATGATAAATTCCCCAAAATAGCACTAAAACAAGTTTTATGGACAATTATAGCACACACTCCATAAACTTTCAAAAATAGCATTAGTTGATTAACTATTAAGTTTTTGTTCTATAATTATTATCATTAGTTTATTTTTACCAATAATATCACAATTTTTATATAAAAACTATTCAAGCAAAATAAATTAGAAATAAATTTAAAATATTATATTTGGGTTCTTTATTTCCAATTTAGGGTATATATTTCCACCATGTAAAAGAGATATTGATTCATTTTAATATTGAATTTTTGTTATTATGTTTGGGTTCATTAATTCCAATTTAGGGTATATATTTCCACCATTTAAAAAAGAGATTTTGATTCATTTTAATATTAGTTTGTGGGATTATATTTGGGTTCCCTCATTCCAATTTAGGGTATATATTTCTACCATTTAAAAGAAATTTTGATTAAATTTAATATTAGGTTAGTGTTTGCTCTTATTTTCTATTTAATTAAAGTTTAGGGTGCTATTTGTGGAATTTTAGAAATATTGTGCTAATTTTGGAAAAACAAACTTTTTTGGGGCTATTTTTGTCAATTGCCCATTTAAAATCAAGTTTATATATGTTTATATTAAGTAAATTTAAAATCAACTTTATTCATGTTCATATTAGTATATCTCATAAATTTAAACCATATATTACAGACATTTATTGTAAAGTGATTTATACCAATATATAAACAACAATATCAGTTTGTTTCTAATTTACTATTTCTGCCCAACGCATCTCTAAAATAAAAATTATATCTATAAGAAGACTATTCGAAGTAGTAAATATGTACGCTTATGAGAGTGATTATAAAAAATATCATTTAGCTTGATTTACATAATTAATGATTAAAGATTTAAATGTCATGGAGGAGTGACTTCGAAGCTCTTCAACAAATGATAATTAATGGCACAAACACATAACTCACTAAATTATACTACAAGTCTACAATTGAAATTACCATTGAAATATCAAATATCTGATCGACATGCTCTCCCCACAACATCCGTTGGACATGCTCTTTCCACAATATACGAGACCATAACGCACGACTTTGCTTACAAAGTTTTATAACTTCCGATAAGTTTTGCATCAATAATCTAGCAAAAAATTGCGTTTTTTGGGAATCGACCCCCTGATCTAATATAGAAGACTTTAAACTCTTAACCACGGGACTAAAGGTGCTTTAACATAAAATTTCTTTTAATTGATAAAGAATATTTTCATGTAATGTTTATCTTTTCAAAAAGTAAATTTGTTCTTCAAAGAGATGCTAATAATATAAATCGGACACATAAACACACGGAACAAGTTGTGTTGCGTACGGTAGTTTTTCATGTTTTGCACATTGTGTCAATGGCAATCAGAATCAGGCAATGCAAACTGCCTTAACCTAACGTTCATGGAACAATCAAACATACGTCGATTCCGAGTCACCATTCAACTAATTAACATATCTTTAAATACATACATACGTGTGTGTATATATATTCATCTATGCAAATTTAATGAGGTCATGGGTTGTGTGTGGTTTGATGTACATAAGCATAAAGATTTTCAAAAATGAACGACAATATTAAATCCAAAAAAAACACTCAAAGTTGGAATCCAAGGCAACAAGAGACGATAGGTCCACATTATCATAAATACAGTCAATTAAATTTCCTACACCTTATCAGAAAGCTCATAAAAATCAAATGAGCCCACCTTCTCCTACAATTAAGTTCTTCACCCACGCATTTAGTGGGTCACACAAACTCTTATGACTTGTGTCCCTCCAAATTTTCTAAAATTCACAGCATGCATTCAAAACATTTAATCCAAAAAATATAAAACAATCGTAATCCACTATTATCAACGTATATATGAGTATCGAATGATACGTTTACGACCCGTATATTCACATACTACGACTTTATTTAATAATGAAGGAGTTACATATCACATCAATTGTTATATAAAACCTAAACACCTTATATTCATTATATCATTCCTTAGCAACTTGTTCCTCATTCCCCGCAAATCAAGCATAGAAAGAGATACTCTTGGATCATCCAAGTATCCGATTCTCAAACCGTAAAAATATAATGTCCATGAAAGGGATCTCATCAGCAGAGCCAGATAAGCTCTCGAGGAGAATATCTTTGACCAACAAGCGCAATTCCGAAGAGCTTGACGTGTTTGAGGCCGCAGTGTACTTCGGCTACAATGAAGCCTCCTCTGGTGACCATAGACCTACACAAAAGTATGGCTATAACGGAGCGAGAGAGGAGAATCCTAGGCGATGGGGAATATTAGGAGGAGGAGGAAGAAGAATCAGCTTGGATTTGCCTATCAGATGCTCAGAACAAGTGCACCATCTTCAACAAGATCATCATGAGAAGCACGAAGTTACAACAATCAAGGAGAGACTTGGTAACGTGAGACACAAGCAACCGAGCTCACCAGGTGGGAAAATCGCCAGCTTCTTGAACTCCTTGTTCCATCAAGCAAGTTCGAAGAAGAACAAATCAAAGTCAAAGTCAAAGACAAAGCCAACGGATCCAGAAGTGGAAGAGGAGATCCCTGGAGGAGGATGGATGAGGAGGAGGAGGAGAAGCAGTATCAGCCATTTCTTGAGCTCAAGCAGATCGAATTCAATCACCACCACCACCACGGCATCATCATCATCAAAATCTCTGATGTCGTCTTCAAGCTCGGGTTTCAGAACTCCTCCTCCTTATTTGAACACTCCCACCAAGAACTACAAGCAGTTCTTGAACTACACTTCTGCCACAAAACAAGTGGGAGAAGAGGAAAAGAAGACCAACAAAGAGTTCTCTTGGCTGGACGAGAAACTCAAGGTGATGGAGAGCCTCTCGGAGAATCAGAGGATTTGGGCTGATGATGACGATGATGATAGGAGAATAAAGAGAGAGGGAAATGATGATGGAATGGAGAGTGATTCAAGTTCTGATCTCTTCGAGTTGCAAAACTACGAATTGTCTCGTGGAGGCTTGCCAGTCTACGAGACTACCAATGTAGCTAACATCAACAACACTCATATATAATCAAAACTCTCTGAGTGTCATAAACTCCATCAGATCTTGGTAATAACACCCATAAAACAAATTGTTTTTTCAGATTTGTTCTTGTCTGATTGTTCTTCAGTTATATGTAATTCTTTTGGGTTTCTTGGATTTGTTTGTGGAAGCTTTAATGAATTTTTTTTTTTCTGTATGAGATTGAGGTAGATTTGATAAATACCTAGATTTCTTGTCTATCACATTGTTTTTTTGTTTCCATCTCTTTACGTTTTTTCCTTGTAAACTATATTTTGTACAATATTGTTAATATTTTAGTTATTAGAGTACGTGGTAAAACCATTTTTATTTCAGTAGAAATCAAAGATTTGTTGAAAAAGTTTGTCACTTACATATTATTGAGCTAAATTCACCGACCGGAAAAAAAACTGAGCTATATGTTACGGACCATATATATAAACCGTTGATACATTGGGATATAACAAACATAATTATCAACGAATATGTTGTCGAATTGGACTTGTATTCTTGTAGTAATTAACCGGTTAAGTTTTGGCTGGCTGTTTTTTCCTTTACATTTGTTGGTTAGTTATAAGTCCATTTTTTGTCGTCGGTTACGAGTCTTACAACTTATGGAGCCACTAGTTCTCAAATTAAATTTTGTATCGATAACATGAGAAAAAGACAAAGAGACAAAAATTGGGGACCAACAACGATCTCCACTTGCATTTTTTTCCTATTAGCTTAATAAATAATATTAGATGTACCAATCTTCAAGTAAGTCCTAAGTAGAAAGATCTACACAGACAAAAAAAAATCTTGAGCTCTAATATTTTGTGTATATATAGAAGCCGAACTATCTAAAACATGAAGAATTAAAAATAACTTATATATAACTAGAGAAATATAATTTTTAAGAGAAAAAAATAATCTAAAACATATGAGAACCGAGAACGCATGCTATTCCGAAAATAAGGATATCATTTTTAGCGGGTCCAAACAAGTTGTTTCGAACCTCAAGCTTAAGCATGCAAGCCACTGCTGAAGAATCATTCATAAACGTTAATATATTATTATAAGAACTAGTACCCAATAACTTAATCTAGTATGCGGTATGCCTAGACGTTTTTTTTGTTGTCCTGTCACGAGTTGCGTCATAGAGCTTCGATAGAAGTGAAAAAGTATAATTAGTGTTTTGGCTGAAGATTGATTTATCCTTAAAAGGATTTATCAACTGCTTTAGATAATTGTATTAACAAATTAATCAAGGACAAAAGAGATATCCAAAAGCTTTTGTCATGCATAGATTGCGCTTGCTTTTCAAGTTTTATTTATTAATGCATGCCTAAGGCATACGGAGTACTATATATATAGCCTTTTTATTTTTGGATTAAGACGACTATATAGCTAGCCTTTCTAAGGATAATTCGGATGTATTGGCTGGTCGTACGTTGGATATATATCCGACTAAAATCTCTTTTTGATTGTGACTAAACTCTTTTTGATTTGTGTTTTTTTTTTTTACTTTGAAAGATCTTGTGAAATTGAAATTTTAACTTTAAAAAAAACATTAATCAGTGATCGAAATACATTTAATGAAAATTAGTCTTTGGTCTCATGCCAACAAAAGATAATTAATATTAATTCCACTTCAATCACACACTAGCTTGGTTAAAAAATTATATATCGAGTTGTATTCATCGCAAAAACACTGTAATTATACATATGTAATTAGCCATATATATATGCTTTTTACTTATTAGTATTTCAATCGGATAAGGTACTTTTTTAAGAACAAAAAATTTACAAAATAAACCAAACAAAGCAGATAATTGTACAATCCTACAATGAACTCATGCGTAGTGGCAACAAAAAGAAGGAAACAAAAGAAAAATACTCATGACGGTTGAAACAATGATACATGTCACCTATATAGACTAAAGTCGGATATATGAAATGTATAAGTAATACATATGGCTTTCTCCTATCATCTAGTGGGTGGAGGGTCCAAACATGTGATAATCATAAAGTTGAGGTAATTATGCAAAGTAAAATGATATAATAATTAATCTTGCGAATAAAGACACTCACAAATAGTATGTTAGGAGTTTTGTTAGATGAGTTAATAATTAACGTCATATATGCAAATTTCAATAAATTTTTATTTATTGGACCGGTTATACTAAATTCAGTTTATTCAGTATAAATCAATGTTATTATTCCACTTATTCGGTATGAAACCAATGTTGTCGTTCGGTTAAAGAAAACTTCGTTCGGATCACAAAATATTTGGCTCAGTTTTTTTCTTCTTCTTGTATCTATTTTTAATGGTGCCACTATGAATAAAAATAAATTCTGGTCTTCGATCTAAAATGTAAAGTTCAAAAACCTGAACTTTCCATCGTTCTCAAATACTATGACAGTAATCATGACCAGTCTTTTTGGTGCACACTGACTGTTACATCATGATTCATGGAGTAGTATTTTTAAAATCTTTTGAATTTTCGTGAAAATGGAAGAGACCCCCATGGGCCGTAAATAGACCTTTACTATGCTACGTAAATTGATGGACCTGGCTTTGCAAATTGGAACCAACACCAACTCTTTTTTTCACATATCCGTTTGTTTTAATTTTTAACTTTTTCAAGTCTTTTTTTTTTTTTCCTCTTTTTTTTCCTTACTTTTTCAAGTCTTTTGACACACATAAAGTCATAAAAGTATATGATCGAATTTACTTACAACTTTTACATTGTAATATATGAGAAACGATCTAATCATATAAACGTGTAATTTACATAAGAAATATCAACAGCAAACAAGAACAAACAAAATGAAGTAATTAGGACTTAGCTTTAGATTCCATCACCTGAAAAGTGCGGTTGGTTGGCCAATAAGGTATGATCTGGCTCCCACCAAAAAAAAAAAGATTTTTAAGAAAATAAAAGAAAAGGGGTTGATTTTGTAATAAAGCAAAAGGTTTGGGGATCGTCAGAAGGCTTTGCCTACACACTCTCCACCACCAATCTCTACAATTCGCTGATTCTCTAATATTTTATTTATTCCTTTTGCGACCCCAAAGTTTCTTTTTCGTTTGAGGAAACCCACATACATAATACATTCTTAATTTGGATATATATTCTTATTAAAACGATTTTTAAAAGAAAATTAAGCCAAAATAATAATGTTTCCAAGTTGCTATATAAAATAGGCTTTTCCCATGTTGTTCTTTTTTTTTTTTTAATCTTTACAATCTCATCAAAACCGCCAACAAACCAAATAATTTAACCAAAAAACGTGTTTGTCAAAATTGTAAAACTTTCAATGGGGACGATGTTCATTGTGATCTTCATTGGTTTTGATTGTGATCAACATATTTATGTCATATTTAAGTATACATGTGTTCGAGATAGTCTGTGAACACATCAGTTTGGTTGCTTGTCTCTACGTCAATGTGAAATACATACCACCATATTCGTTGTATGTTATTTGTGACTAAACCAAGATTTTGTTTAGGTGTAATTGTTCCGAAAACAATCGTACATCACCACAAAAAAACCTATATGCAATTTACTCGGTTACTTTTAGCATATCAATAATTAACTAAGCTAAATGAACCTAAAACTAGTTTTACCAATGGTAAATTGGTAATGATTTAGTGGTAGAAAATGAGACATGACGTCAACAATTTGTTCTTTCTTTAAATTCGATTTGTGTACTTGATCAAACGAAATAGTGTCACGTTTTAGATGCTTTTAAGTTTTAACAGCTCGATGAATAGACTACTCAGTCGAAAAACACTAGCCATTCAAAAGGATTTACTCGTACTTGTTCCTATTACCCGTTGTTTTGAAAAACAAACACAATAAATTACGGGTTTTACTTCACATTTTACCAAAAAAAAAAAAAAAAAATTACGGGTTTGTATATAACCAAAACATTTGTGTTTTTAACAGTGATATAATTCATTTTAGATGTGCTTATATTTTTTTTGTAGGGCTGGACATTGATTCCTGTTAGTTAGTTGTACGCATGGACATATAATCCGAGGTTTCGAACCGATCCGAAAAATCTTATTTAAATCGGTTTCGGTTATTTAGTAAAACTCGATAGGATTTCATATAGAATGTGATTCGGATTTCGGTTTGGATCGGATAATATCCGAAACCCAATCGGAGATCCGCTAATCCAAAACTTTACATTACATATTATTAATTTTATGCTCAATTCGGATCGTGTAATTTAGAATTTCATGTTTGATAGGGTAATTTTTGGATAATTCGGATAATTTGGATAACTAGGATCGGGTAATTTGAATTTTATCAGATAATTCGGGTATTCCGGATCCAAATCTAAACCGAAACAATATCCAATACCTTTTGAAAATCTGCAGAAAAATACAAAATTTAAAGAATGAAAAAAAAGGGAAGAAAAAGAGAGAGAGAGAAGTGGAGAAGAAGATGGGTTTAGTGGAAATTAGGCCTGGACATATGGGTAACCCGTTTAGATTCGGGTAAAACCCGTTCGGGTTCGGGTTAAATGGGTAATAAATTTACGATCCATTCAGGTATTTCTAAATATTCGGTTCTGGTTCGGTTCGGGTATCGTCGGGTTCGGATCGGTCTGGGTAATAAGTATGAAAACCGAAAAAAACCCGAAAATTAGGGTTCCCATTGGGTTCGGGTCTAAATAGATAAAATTACCCATAAACCCAAAATATGTCTCCATACCCGAAATTTTAAACCATTTTACATGCACAAAACATCAAATAAAAAGAATAGAACATAAACATGACATCTAAATCCAATCCAAAGTCACAATGATTAATAGTTAAAAGTTAAGAGTAGAGAAATCCGAATATGTATATGAAAATATAAATCCGATTATCTAAATATCAAAAACATTGAACTAGATAGAATTAGAAGTCATGGTCAAAAACAAAATAGTCGTCTTCCTCTCAAACCTAGCTGCCACCCCCAAAAAAAAATTTCAGATTGACCTCTCCGGTGGCCGGCGCTTCTCGCCGTTGCTGTCGTGAGAGGGTCCAAATGTATTTCTTTTGTTGTCTTGTTGGTTTTTGTTCTCTATATGTTAAATCCGGTGTTGGTGGTGAAGATCTTGCTTTGATGTGACGATGGAATTTCCCGGCGAGTCTTCACGGCTTGTTCAGCAGTCCTTTCTCATCTCCGGTTCGTTTTCATTGTCTCGCTTGGCTGGAGTCTCTCTTGGGTTTGTTTTAGTTGTTTAGTCGTGGTTAATTTAGGATGGTTTCAATCTCTGGCTTGCTCTTCATTTGAGAAGCAGTTGCTTTGTTGGCCCTTTCTCGTCGGATCGTGTGTACGTCTTAGACGTATGGTCCAGATTTTGTGGCTCACAATCTCTGGTTCTTTGCTTTTGGTGATAGCCCGTTTTGATGGCATGGTTTTGGTTGGATCTCTAGTTCTCCTTGGATTTGTTGATTCTTACTCTCCCTCTCTTCGGTGGTCTTTATTGTGAGCTCCCCGATTCGATCTGTTGCCTTTCTTGTTTGGAGTTTGGTGTCATCGGTTTGGATTTTTGTCTCTACACTCAAGACCTGATCGAGGTCTGGTCAAATCAAAGACTTTTATCGAGGCGTCAAATTGTAGTAGGTTTCTACATCGCCGCTTCCGGAAGATTTGCGAGTCTTCTTGTGATTTGCTTTCGTCTTGCCGGATATGAAGTCTAGGATTATTTTATTTGGGAGGTACTCTGGCTTCATTATAGGAGGTTTCGTTAGCTGCTAACGGATTATGTTCATCCACTGTGGTTGGCTTTTGTTCATCTAGGAGTAAGGGAGATCTTTTGGCAGTCTTTTTCGTTTGAGATCTTAGTTCCAGCTGCTGTGTTTCATTTCGCTTTTTGTGGATTGTAATTTCATCGTTTTCAAATGTTTCCCTGTAACTTAGGGCTTCTGTTTTCCTCTTTTGGGCTATGACTCTGGGGATATCTCGTTTTTCCGCCGGCTTAGTTTCTGGGGGTTAAAGTCCCGCCAGTCTTTGTATTCCAAGAACGTATTTCACCCGTGATATATAAATAATCTTTCAGACGAAAAAAAAAAAAGATAGAATTAGAAGTAGGATTGTAGCCTTGTTGGAAGTTGATAGATGGGTGATGACTGAAAAAATATCTCTCATAAGCTCATCTTCCACTATTATTTAAGACTATATGACTATATCTATATACGTATATAAACACATATGTCTTCAGTTTCGGGTTTATAGGTACCCATTTATGGGTAACGGATAATCCCCGATCCGAACCGATATTCACAGGTTGACCAATACTCTATCCAATAAGGTAATTTCCGAATACTCTAATCCAACCCGATTTTTTCGGTTCGAATATCAGTTCGGGTATCGGATCCGGTTTTTTTTGTCCATGCCCAGTGAAAATCATGTTGACCCCAACAGTATCTGCTTCGACGTCACCTCTCACCTTATTCCTTCGATTCCCCCCATTTTCACTTTTCTTATATTTTCTCCATCTCTGTCTCTTTGCTTGCTTCCTATACACAGTTCTTCTCTGTTCCTCTAATCGGAAGTATGTATATTGATTCTTATTCTTCGATCTTCTTTTTATGATTTGGTTCACCTCAATTGCATTAGATGGAAGAGAAATACTCGAAATCTCGTCTTAAATTATATATGTTCTACTGATGATCATCTTGTTTGATTGCTTCCTTGATTAAAGTATTGATTTTTATCTTTGTTTCTTGTTAGGGTTTGAATCTTTTCGTCAATTTTCTATCTGGGTTTTGTGCCAGTCGAAGGAATAAGTGAATCGTCGTCTTGGGTTTTCTCAATTAAGAATAAAGTTTCCTCCTTTTAGGGTTTTTGAATTTACTTATCGAATTTGATTATAGTGTTGGGTGATGGATGATTCTTGGAGCTACGGGAGAAGCGTTTTCATGTCAAATGAAACTCTTTTACCTTTTGATTCTTTTGCTGAGAATAGAAGATTTGAACATAGATTCTCTAATGAATTGAGGAATGATAATGATGATGTGTTGATTTCTGACATGGCTGGTAACTCCAATGGATTCAGTGCTGTTTCTATTACCAAAGTGGTTCCTGAAGAGGAAGAGGAAGAGAACCAATCTTCTTCTTCAAAGTTGTCTAGTCACGAATTGAATAGGATAGATTTCAAACTTAGGAGCATTTTGGATTTAGGAAATGATGATGATACATCCTCTAGAGGTTTTGCTCTGCCAGCTAAAAAGTCTCGAGCTTCAAACCTTTGCTCTCAGAATCCCTTGTGTCAAGTGTATGGGTGTAATATGGATCTGAGCTCTTCGAAAGATTACCACAAAAGGCATAGAGTTTGCGAGGCTCATTCTAAAACTTCCGTGGTCGTAGTTAATGGTCTTGAACAGAGGTTTTGTCAACAGTGCAGCAGGTTTCTTCTTTCTCCTCTCAAGTTGTCGTTTTAACTAACATATCATGCTTGATGGATCTTGATTGTTTGTTTCTTTTACCTTTTTCTTCTGTTCAGGTTTCATTTCCTCTCAGAGTTTGATGATGGCAAAAGAAGTTGCAGAAGGCGATTAGCTGGTCACAATGAACGAAGAAGAAAACCTGCATTCTATTTCCTACCGGGTAAGCGCCATAAGCTTCTTCGCACCTCTCAAGGTACTCAGTCTCTGTCTTTTCGCTATCCATTGATGTATTGAATTAGCAAACTTGTGCAAGTTTGAATCCATTCTGTGTGTAAATAGGTGTAGTAGGCAACAAGTTTCTGGAGAATCCATCGTTGGTATTGCCAGAGTCATTTCCTGGTAGTCTCTTATACAGAGTAATAGATGACGACGACCACCGTGCAAGTAGACTCGTGAGTTTCAAAGATGAACCTACTTGCTCTATGTTTCCTGCTATTGGGCAAAACAGCAGCAGAACTTATGAATCTAAACCAGCGATTTATTCAGCGGAAGTATCCTCTATTTGGGACTTACATGAGACGGCGGTTTCACGCTCTACTTGTGCTCTCTCTCTTCTGTCAGCTCAGTCCCAACAACACTTGTCTCAAATTCCAAACACAACATTCTCAATCACCCAACCAAACCAAAATCCCAATCACCCATCACAAGTAGACTATCATGAAATGGAACCGTTATGGATCGATCCTGGCAAGACCAATTCTGCTGGTTCTAGTTCATGTAAAGGAAAAGGACCATCCACGGTTGATCTACTGCAACTGTCATCACATCTTCAAAGAATCGAGCAACAGAGGAATTACACTGGTGATGTGAAGCAGGAATATAACGAGCTTTATTTCCCTGGCTCTTAAAAAAAGGTTACAACATTCTTATTCCTTAAAACCGGTTCGAGCTTCTTGAGATTTTCTGCACTATAGGACAAGACAAGCCTGCGTGGTTTGATTAGTTTATTAATTTGGGTGTGGTAATTATTAGATTGGTGAAATAGATAGAGGAATGAAGAAGATCAAATCATGTTACAGGTATTATTGTAATTTGTAACTGTTGTGTTGTTATTCATCAGTCAATAATGTTCTGAAGAAAATTGCTTCAGATATCTATGCCTGTTTCTTTTACACAGCGTTTCAGTCTCTTTTTTTTTCCGGACAATTTGTATATATAATTGTAGTGAATATTCGCTGAAAAAGTGAATTTTCACTTTTGTTTTGTTTTGTTCTGTACACTCACGTCATCTGAGATTCTCGAATTCGAAGTTAGGATGTTGAAAGTTGCAAGCTAAGTCCTTGGAAAAATATTATGTCCTAGATGGAAGAGGAATAAGCAGATAAATTTTTGATAGGATTAAGACAAATAAAGACCAGACATAAACGTCCAAAGGGACATAGCAAGTGACGTTACTTTCAAATCTAAAGACAGACAGAAATATAAAGTCATAGAAACTAAGGCAACATCATTTTCTGCAACATGACATACATAAGGAAAATTACATGAACAACACAAGATGAGAAAAACGACGCAGCCACTCGCACACGTGCATGCGTTTGTTATTTTTGGCTTCTTTTCCCCTGAGATTTTTTTTTTCACTTCTTCTCACCGAACCCCAAGCCCTAATTGAACAAAACATTTGAATTTTAAGTCTGTATATAATATTGTATATAAATGTCCTTATCCAGACTGAGTTTGTATAGCGTACATGGATCATGTTGTGGCCTCCGGAAGTAATGGAAGTAGGAGAGTTGGGTATGTACTTAGCCCACTGTTTGTGACATTTTTCAATTACACAAACGAAATTGTGAAAAAAATATTTATTAATGAAAAAAATGGTTGGTAACAAAAAAAAACTTGTCGTCTTACATTTTTGGCAGCAGCACTGAAAGCTTCACGGTGTGGTATTTCCGGATTAGCACTTTTGATTCGTTGGATCTCATCCCTTTTTATATTTTTCAAAACCAAAAAAGATGAAGAAGAGTAATTTTATATATAATTAATGTTTATGCATTAAATTTCATAATTTGGAAATGAAGAATATATATATGTCAAAGGTTAAAACCTCATGAAGCGGTTGTATGCAGATGGAAGTCTCTGCTTCTTCTCAGGAGCTACAATACAAAAAGATGTTCAACAAATTATCATTTATTATGTAGATAGTGATTAAATTTATAGAAGAAAAAAGAGTCAGAAATGGTAATAAGCTTAATTACGTTTAACGACAAAGGGTGGTGTGGGGGATGGTGGCTGGTCGCTGGAGGTAGAGGAAGAGGAAGAAGAAGAGCTTCCCTTCTTATACTCACTCCCACCAAAGCTCTGCATCTGCTTAATTAAGAAAATTACGATAGGCTTAGTATCACATTTTTTATTTATAAAGAATTATACTCATATGTATAACTATAAAGCAAGTGTTATATACCTGAAGGGTGAGGCTGACATGGCCTTGGAGAGGAGGAGTTGTGGTCAGAAACGAGAGGTTACCGCAATGTCCGCATTTCACTGTCACAGTGTCAAGCATTCTCTTCAATGGTATCCCAACCTATATATGTATGTAGATTAGGTTTACAATTAGTTCAAAATTTTGAAGAAAATTTCACAACATAAACAACAATATATAGATTCGCATGCATGACATATTATCTACATAAATATATAAGGGTCATGCACGTATATATGCTTAGCCATCTTCTGATTTGTGTGGGTCACTTACCGCGAGGATGGTGTTGCAGATGCTACACCGGACGTAGTAGAGATGTTCGGTTTGAGGGGAAGCCCTTGAAGCTGCCATGGTTGGTTTCTCTTCAAGGTTCATGATCTTTAGCGAATGGATTGAAAACCGCTCTTGAAAGAAAGAGAGAGATAAAGAATCAGAAGAACTTTGTAGAGTTAGGGTTATGGTTATTTTATGAGTTAGAAGGCTTGTATTTATAGAACAAACATAGTGAGACCATGAGATGTATAGAGAGAGGGAAAGATTGTCCAAGTGTTGGACGTATATGCAGTCCATAATTTCATTTTTATAATTTATTTTAACAACAATTAATATATATCTTATCAAAAAAAAAAACCAATTAATATCTTTTTTTCTTTTTTTTTACCAATTAATATCTTAAACAAATGACTTGAGGTGTAGACACGAATTTTGGAGTGTGACATTATAATTTATGTGTTTTCTAGGGATATCTTACTTACTATTCTATTTTGTAACCACTGCAATAAATGTTTTAACAGATAAAACAATTTGGAACAACAAGTTTAATTTAAAAAAAAAAAAAGTTTAATTTGACGATTAATCTACGTTTCCGCATGATTCGGTAAGATAAATAAATTATACTAATATATTATTAACTGACTTTTAAAAAAGATACGCAGAATTTAATGTAAAAACAAACTTTTAACAAATTAATTTTATGTCAAATCATATATATGAATTAAATTAAAGGGACCGGATCTAGGGCTTTATGACTTTTATCTGTGTTGCTACTATTGCGGATGATAGTACATACTCCCTCTGCAAAATCTTGCAGACGTATTTAATTTTGCTTCAAAAATATCAAGACTCTAAATGTCACTCCTCGTACATTAGTTTTTGCTATAATAAGCTGTGCTGAAGATTATTCAATCATGTTTTTCGTATAAATATGATTATTTTTTAGTTAACACTATACCTTAATTAATCATGTGTTATGTGTAAATAACTCATAAGTACTAGTCCAAAATTAACTCAAGATCAGAATGAAAACAAACAATCCAATACTTTCCTATACATCAATATTTTCAAAATAAGCAGATATACATGGTGTAAGATATATATTCATGACCATTGGTTTAAGATCGATGTATATATATTTTCACTTTATATTCACCAGCTTCAACATCGTACAGATATTAATTATGACACATATATGCGATGCAAAATGACAAAAAGAGATGACCAATTAAGATATTAAAATTATATATTACATAATACATGGTGTGAATATGATTACATTCATTCAAGTTTGATGCCAGAAGTCTTGACTTGCCCACATGTTATAAATTAAGAATGGTCCTTTCCTGATCTTTGATCTGTTCCTTTTTTTGTTTCTCTCATAAAATTTTCACGCAAAATGATTTCACTGTAAAACTGAGAACAAAACTTGTCATGATTCACAACTTTTTTCTTCATCGTGAAAATTTTAACTCAATTGCATTAATAAGTTAAATACAAAAATCGTTTAACTGTAGGGAAACAACAAAAAAAAAAAAAATGGATCTTCTTTAGACACATCCAACTATACATACATTGGATCCAAAAGCAGAATCTTTTGATTTGCCACTTATCTATGTTATTTTTTAGTTATAGGATTTACAATTTATATTTTATGTTTAAGGATGTGTTGTACATTGCACAACAAATTTTCTGTTTTAGTTTTGTTTATTACATACATGTAAAAGTTAAGTTCTCTAGACTGTTGGTTTCTGAGGTATGTATTAATCCGATCCATAAAAAGAGTGATAATTCAGCAACATTATTTGACGAACAAAAGAAAATTCAGCAACGTTATTTTTTGGGAGATAAACACACTTTTATTGCTGAATTTTAGATAGAACAAGCATATTTGTTAGCATACTAATTATAGGGAAGATGAGTAAGATGTGAGGGCGTTGAGCTAAATCAAAAATCAAAAATAGAAACTTGAAAAGATAGTGAAGAAAAGAGGAGCTATAGAATGGATTCCATCTTTTGTGCATGCACTGCCCCACAGGGAAATTGGAAGGAGACAAGTGATCAATCACACGTCTCTTTCAGTGACTAACTTTTTTGCATTCTTCACTTTCCTTAGATTTCCTACTTCTACACACATATTGGGCTTACTTACAATTTCATTTGATTAAAGTTTTGCTCTCAATGTTAGAACTAATATATAAATAGATTAATGAAAGTCCTCAATTTCTTTAGTTGATAACAAAAAAAAAACATGAATAACTCATTCTATTTGTGGAAGCCCCCTTGGCCCATTGGTTGATCAAGGGTTAATTAATGCTTCTACATCTAGAGGTCTGGGGTTCGAGTCCCAGATACTGCGATTTATTAATATATTTGCAGATTATTAGAGGCAAGTATGCATGAGATCTCCAGCGATGTACAATTATAGCCGTTCGCCAGGATTCTACGCAGAGAGTGAAGTGTCCATTAAGAGCAGGAAGAAGGAGGTGAAATAGGTGATCATGAAAAAGGAGGTGAAAGAGGTGATGTCTGTCGTGGATCTAATAAAGGTCGGAAGGAATTGTCAGTTGTAGAATCGTCTATGTAACAGTTCTCATAATTTGCAATAAATAATAAATCTAGAAGAAAAAAGAAAAAAAAACTCTTTCTATTTAATATGCTTTGTAAACATTTATTTTTAACACTGTACGCTAGTCTAATTCCAAAATCTGCAATAACAAAATCTCTGATCGATTCATATCTAATTTAAAAAAATTATTGATACTTTATTTTGTTAAAATTATTGATACGTTATTTTGTAATCTAAGAAAGTTTAACCATGCACAATGAACAATTATCCTCAAGTTTTTATTTATGTATCCATTTTTATCAATACAAAATCTCATCATAAAAAAAAAAAAAAAAATTTAGCAAATCTCATCGCATTGGCATTAAGATAGAAATGTGAATATTTTTTTTGAATATTTCCATATTTTGACTTGAAGCATACTAAACCAGAGATGTAACTGAAAATTTTAGAGTAAGATTTGTATATAATAAGGTTAATTGTATATTATAGAAGATTAGTTGTATATAATAAATAAGGTAATCGTGGACTAGAAATTTTGATAAGATATCTCTGTCTGCATCTTAAAAAAGGTGACTGAAATTAAATTATGTTTATTGAAGAAAAGGTTGGGGACTATGACTGTGAGAGATGGGACGGTTGCCAAAAAAGGGAAGAGAGCTAATAAGAAATTAGGGTTTAGTCAGGTTTCCATGCTCGTATAACTTCATTACTCCGACTCTTTAAAGCTTTGCCTTTACCCTCTCCTCTAGCTATCTATCTATTTAATACCACCATTATTCATACATCCACTACTTTTACGTACACTTAAATATATAATCATTTTTATATTTGTCATGTATATCTCAAAATATGCCTTTTTTCTTGTCGTGTACTAAATTATTTTGTGCCTAATTAGCATGGCTTAGTCGAGTTAATATTTAATGATAACTAATTCATTAGCTACCGGTTATGATGAGACGAGCGTTTAGATTTTTATTTATTTGAATGCACCTATCATGGTTTTTGTTTTGGGTATTATATGATATGATAGTTTCGGTGTTCCAAATTCAGAATGTGGAAATGTGTAATCTATCACAAAGTAATTGACCGTTATAGTGTTTTGTGGGTACAAAATTAATAATGGACATCAGGACATATGTAATTTGAGCGTGGAAGAGAGGATCAATGGATCATGAGTATATTTGCAAGTCGTTTAGATTGTTCCTAACGTACTTACGGTATTTAGTTAAAAGACAATATATATATATATATATATATATATATATATATATATAATTCACCAACAAACAAAATAGATTACTGTATGATCGTTACTAAATTAAATCATTTATTTTTTAGAGCAACACAGAATTTTTTACTAGGCTTTAGATCGTGAAATCATCAACTTCACGATCTAATCATCAACTTTAGATCATTAACATCCTCCATAATCTCCAAGTAGTCCCACCGTCTATCATTTTCAAGGCTTTAGATCGTGAAATCATCAACTCTATCTACGCAAGGAGGCATCGAAGGAAATTCAGGAAATTAAGGAGTCTTTGGCTCTGATTTGAACTTCACCAAGTTAAAGAGATTAGTTGTTTGCTTCCTTGTTTTTTATTTTCTTTTTGCCAAAGAACCAAAAGTTAGGTAATCAACATGTAAATCCAAACTTTTTTTATTTTATATGATATTAACAATTTAGCAAAAAAAAAAAAAAAAAATTTCTTACTAGTGACTAGTTATGTTCATAATGTATAATAATTCAATACTCTCTCTCAACTCTCAAGAATACAAATAAATATAAAGTATTAAATCAATATATAATTTACATAGAGGCTTGAAAACATTTTATAATATAAACAAAAAATCTCTAAAACATCTTATATTATGAAACGGAGGAGCCGTAATATTTGTTATAACCGAGTCTGCTAAATAAACATTATCATTTTCCGTTTTTATTGGTTATATAAAACTGTAGCACATCAAAAAAATCTCAATTTTACAGATAAGTGGAATGCAACATTTGTAAACTTCCTTGAGAGATCTTTATTCTTTACCTAATTAGAAAAACAAGAAATTCTATAATTTGAAAAAAAGAAAAAGTCAAAAGGAAAGTTCACCAAACCCACTTGAGTTTAATAGAAACACACAAAGCTAAGAAGCATCACAGTTCACATCAAACGTAAAGAGGTCTCTACTCATTCGCAGCTTCTACTCTTCCTTTTTCGGAAACCCTATCGCTCTCTTTCCGATTTGACTTGTCTTTATTATTATTAGTTGTTGTTCCTAATTAATCACTTTCTCTTATGTGTTTTCAATATAGCACTAGACAACATAGCCTTTAGTTGATCTTTCTCGTGCCAATTTTGATTCTCTTATTCTAAATTACTTCATCTTCCGCTTCCATTTAACGTTTTCCTTTATGAATTTCTTTTTGACTAACTTTTCTTGTCGACAGTTGTCGTCTCTTTCTCCTATATACTAAATTTTTCATTCCTTCAACGTTGTTGTGTAGGTAGTTTCTTCTATCTATTTGAAAGATAAGTAAGAAAGCACCAATATTTCCTAACCTCCATCGGTTGCCATAAATTTGATTATGCCCAAATGAAATCTGAAAAAATAATGTCTATATATAGGTAAAATGAAATCTAAAATTTCATACAAAAAAAATGAAATCTAAAAACAAATTGAGTGTCACATGTTCTTGATGACTGCTCTTATGTCTTATCTGATTCCTTGCACAATAGTCCTTTCTTCTCAATTTGCATCACAATATAATATCTTCATTACACATTTTGTTTTCCACCCTTCAATTTGCAACAGTATATACAATTTTTGTTTTGTTTTGTTTAATAAATAAAATAAAATAACAGTGTTTTGTATGATTGTAATGTAACCCACTTTCAAACTACAAAATTAAAAGAAGCAAGCCATCGACTCACATCTTCATCAAAAGCAAAATTCACGCTTCTCACATTCTCTTTGTATTCATGATTCCATGCATCGATCTCATAAAAAGGCAACTACGAATTGTGGAGAAGGACATCTGTCTTCGATCCCTTATTATACATCAAATACTTAAAAAACAAAACATATCATCCATGAAATAAGTTGCACTACCTCTTTTTCTACTTCTTTTTTTCCTTATTTTAGTACCATCTAGATTCAGATCAGGTTCTTGGCAAAAATATGATTTAAGGCTTAAAAGAATACAAAATCGCGATAAAATCCACCAACAGTTTTTCCTCTACAGTATGATCGATAATGAGTTTGGATTTGGTGTGTTGTGCAAAGATGTTTTAAGTAAAGTGTTTTGCCCCTGATGACTTTTAGAACCAAAATGATGACAAAACTGCAGATTTAAAAACTACGAAAAAACTTTTAAAATGAACTGAATTTACTAGGGTAAAACAAATAAACTTAGTTTTAACATCATTTTTATGTACATATGTTCTTAATACCATGCTACAAATCATATACTAATCGTCCATTTTGACCCTTTTTTCTTCATCATTGCATCGCATAGCCTTGCCGCGTCTACATTATCTCTAACATTATGAACTCTAATGATAGTAGCACCTTTTAATATCCCTGCAGTAACACAAGCAACAGTTGCAGGATCTCTTTCACTTGCCTCAGGACGACCACAAATATCTCCCAAAAATCTTTTCCTTGAGGGTCCTATAAGTATAGGTGCATGAGACAAACCTATACTCTTCTTACCCATCTCTTCCCTGATTTTTGGTAGCTCCATGACAATTTCTAAATTATGAGCTATTCCCTTAGAAAATCCAATTCCTGGATCAATCATAATCCTCCAAGCTGGAATCCCAGAGAGTTCTGCCTCTCTTACTCTCTCATAAAGCTCCGAAGCAACATCTTTGCATATATCATTATACTCCAAATTCTCTTTGTTTTGCATTGTACATGGATCTCCTCTCATGTGCATGATCATATAAGGAACATCAGAATCCGCAATAACCATATGCATGTTCGGGTCTAAACTTCCTCCAGAGACATCATTCAAAATGTCAGCTCCATTTCTTATTGCTTCTAAAGCAACCTCAGAGTTAAAAGTGTCCACTGATATGAGCTTTCCTTTCATCTCAGCCATACCTCGAACAACTTTTAAAACCGGAATTAGTCTATCTATCTCTTCTTGAGTAGAAATTCTTGAGGCCATTGGCCGCGTTGACTGTGCACCGATATCAATAATATCGACACCTTCAGAGATCATCAAGCGGACTTGAGAAACCGCTGAATCTATAGATTGAAACTTACCTCCATCACTAAAGCTATCAGGAGTAAGATTAAGTATACCCATCACATAAGTTTTCTTAGAAAAATCCCATAAATCATCTCCTATTGGTACAACCCTTTGTATACCGCCTTTTGCAAGCAATGATTCACCACCTAACCGCTCCCACGCTTGAAAAACTCCACCTGGATGGATTGAGAGTGAATGCCAATATGAAACTATATGATCATTATCAATATCTTCTGTTCCAAGCAAATCTACCAAAGGTGCTAATACAAATGGTCTTTCCCAGATTCTCTCATGGGGAATGATGAGTTTATCAGAAGTTATTCTATGCTTCCCATAGAACAATATGTCCAAGTCAAGTGGTCTTGGTCCATACCTTAAACCATTCTCTTTACGACCCATCTCTTTCTCAATTTTCTTGAGAATGTTCAAGAGTTCATGAGGTTCGTGCTTTGTGGTACCTCTTATTGCAGCATTGAGAAATCTTGGTTGGTTGGTCACATGAACAGGTTCTGTTTCGTACAAACAACTATGTCTTATTACACAGATCCCATAGTCTTTCATCAATCGTAAAGCTTCTCTAAAATTATTCATTCTGTTTCCAACATTGCTTCCTAAAGCAATCACTACTTCTTCTAAAGTTGTTGTTTCCAAAGATGCGAAATCTGAGTCATATACAAAATATGTTTCGAAGGTGAAATAGGATTCAAAAAATTTATACTTTTCTAAATAATTACTTAAACATAGATAGTGTATCAATAATCAAAACGTAAACAATGAAAATGAAACGGATGAAGAAGATACGAACCCATTTTAGATTATTATATTCTGTTCCGGCCCAAATAACACTATTATTTGCTTCGATCTGACCTGAAAGTATACAAAACTATGAGTTTAGTCCTTCTTTTTTTGTGTGCAAAAACTATGAGTTTAGTCTTAGATTAAAAAAAAAAACAATTATCAGAAACACAAAATGGGTTCTAATATTTTAAGAAGAACCAAAGAAGTAAACAATACTTTTTTATGAGAGAGATAAGATGGTAGCCAATTTTCACATACTTTTTCTCTGAACTAGTTTTGTTATTCGAGTACCTTGTGTCTTTCACGCTCGTCAAAAATCAGCTTCTTTCGAATTAGATATGAAGGTTTAGAAAAAAAAAGACAAAAAAGAGAAGAAAACTTTGTTAAAGAGATTTTGAAATTGGTAGTGAATCTCTCATAGTTGGGGTGATGTAAAAAAGAGGGATGTTACCAATTAAATACCAGTTCATCTCCATAGTAAACAATTATGATCAGTTCAATCTAACAATGAAGATTGATGAATTTGCTTATTCCTCATTTATTTACATTTTACTATCTTTAGATAAGTGTAATAATCTTTTACCAAGTGCACTCTTTCTATTTGATAATGTGTAATAATCTTTTACCAAGTGCACTCTTTCTATTTGACAAGTGTCATACGTTGATATTTTAATTATTATTTTTGTCTTTTTTATATGATTTATTCTGTATTATGACTTGATAATTGATCATATCATCTAATTAACTCTTATTGTTCAAAAAGTTTCTATTTAAAATTTCCTACTTTGATATTTTAATATCTCTTCTTATCTCTTTCATATGATTTTTTTCTATTTAATGACTTGATATAATCTAAATATATTTAGTTTTCCCACATCTAAATGTATTTAGTTTTCCTATTTTTCTATAGTTGTTTTCTTATATCAATTTTGTATTCAGAAAATTTTCTTTTCATTAATTTTATTATCTATTCCATTTTTTTTACTATTTAAATATATATTTGGATAGATGATGGAAAAATGTGTGTTACAGTCCAATTATTTAATTTCCACCTTTAAAACCACATCATTTTTTTGTTCGTCAACCACATCAAATTTTTCATTTATAAAGTTTATTGAATTTTTTTGTGACTACATCAATATTCTTGCATACCAAATTACCGATAGTCGATTCAACTGTTCTGTTTTTTTTTTTTGTTATCATAACTCGAAACAATATTATTTTCATTTATTTAGCAAAAAAATAGCCGTTTTACTTTTACCATAACATTATTCTTCTCGTGTTAGAATTTGTATTAAGTTTCTCATCACACCAGATGTATATGATTTCAATGAATGGTAAGTTTTCGTGGCTTTGTTGGAAGCCAATTAACTTCACAACGAACAAAATTTATCCTTGCAGTAATTTTTATATAGCAAACGATTTCACGAAAAACTACACAACAATGCAATTCTACCTACACTTAAAAAAAATATGTACTATAGAATATAGATTATTCTAAATGCACTATGCTTACGGTATATATATATTTTTTTATGTATCACTAAAAGTGTAAAACTATCATATTTTTCTTACTGATCACAAAGAAGAAAAATGAGCCGTAAATAAATTTAGTAAAGAAGAGTATGGACATCTTGACGTTTTCACATTTACAACATAGAACGCGTGCCGTTTTGTTAAAGCGCTAAACCTCTCCCTCATCCTCTCCCAGCTAGCTCTCCTCTTGCGGTTTCAGAGCTTAAACCCCAATCTCCCTCAAACTCATAAACTTATTGCTCTCCTGTGTTGATTTCTGGGTTTAGGCTTCTTTCGACTTTATGGGTTTCGGAGCTTAGTTTCAGTACAATTTCGTTTCGAAAAGAGCTCTTATTTGATGTCCATGGCGTCTCTCTCCTTCACCCAATTCTTATCATTTCCCAGGTCCCTTTGCTTCTATCGCTCTTGTTTTCTTCCATGGGTTTCTATGGATTTGGCGTAGAACTACTTTGCTGCCCAGAAATGTGCGAATGCTTTTCTTATCTTTCTACAGAAGAATGAGTAACAATGATTTGAATTGAGTGCTTTTTTTCGCTGATTTGTATCCACTTTCTTGTTCAATTTAGTGGAAAGCCATGTTATTTCTGTTTGAAAATTCCACATTTTGATGTCATGGTTTTCTCATAGCTGTGCTTAATTTTGGCAGATGCAATGCAGATGTTCCTTGTCTGCTCCAGTCGCTGGGTTTTGTGAAGTTTAGAGGTGAAAGATGGAATGGGAAACAAAGCTTTCCTATGGCTGCTGGTAGGAGAAAGCTATCAGAGTCAGCCCCTCTTGAAGACGAAGGCAATGATGGAAACGGGGCGGTTGGGGGGAAGAAACCATCGAAAAGTGTTAGGAGAGGTGGTGCTCGAACAACGAAGAAGAAGGTGGTAGCAACTGATGAACCATTAGAAGAAAGTTCTCAACTTTTGGTAGATAGTGATGGTGTTTTAGACAAGGAAAGCACTGTTTCAGCTTTGAAACCAAAGACAAGAACTAGAAAGAAAGGTAATGACTTTACCATTTCTGAGATGATTGGTCCTCACTTGATGATTCACTAGTGCATAATTTGAATTCTACATATTTACAGCTGCAGCAGCTTCTTCTGATGTGGAGGAAGTAAAAACCGAGAAGAAAGTGAGACGAAAGAGGACTGTTAAGAAAGATAAAGAAATGGAGGATGATTTAGCTACTAGTACTCATGACGAGGTTAGTGATGTCGAGGAAGCCTTGGCTGTTGAAAGCACTGATACCGAGAGTGAAGAAGAAGAGATTGATCTGAGTAAACATGACAGTGAAGATATTAGTCACACTTATGGATGGCCTCCTCTTGTGTGTTGCTTTGGATCTGCACAACATGCTTTTGTGCCCTCGGGAAGGCCAGCTAACAGGCTATTAGATTATGAACTACACAAACGGATGAGCGATGCAAAGTGGGCCCCGGAGAAGTATATCCGGGCTCCTGGAGGATGTGCAGGAGGTGTTGCTATTGCTCTTGCAAGCTTGGGTGGTAAGGTTGCTTTTATGGGCAAACTCGGGGATGATGACTATGGTCAAGCCATGTTGTATTACCTGAATGTGTGCAAAGTCCAAACTAGATCAGTTAAGATTGATGGTAAAAGGGTTACGGCATGTTCTACTATGAAGATCAGCAAGAGAGGTCGCTTGAAATCGACTTGTATCAAGCCCTGTGCAGAGGATTCACTTTCAAAATCTGAAATCAACGTTGATGTGCTCAAAGAGGTAAATATTGTCTTGGAGATTTGGAACATTGAGTTTTTTACTCTTTTTCTTGTTCACCAATCTCTTAACTTTGATGCAGGCGAAATTGTTCTACTTCAGCACGCATTCTCTACTCGATAAGAAGATGATGTCGACTACGATACAAGCCATCAAGATATCAAAGCAACTAGGCACTGTCATTTTTTATGACTTGAATCTCCCTTTACCACTATGGCAGTCCAGCGAAGAAACCAAGTCTTTCATACAGGAAGTGTGGGATCTTGCAGACATAATTGAAATCACAAAACAGGAACTTGAATTCTTATGCGGAATCGAGCCAACTGAAGAGTTCGATACAGAAAACAATGACATCAGTAAGTTTGTCCATTATCCGCCAGAAACTGTGGAACAGCTTTGGCATGAAAATCTCAAGGTCTTGTTTGTGACCAATGGCACTTCTAAGATCCATTACTATACCAAAGAGCACAATGGTGCTGTTTCTGGAATGGAGGATGCTCCCATTACTCCTTTTACAAGGGATATGTCAGCATCTGGAGATGGCATCGTTGCAGGTACACTTTTCGCTGTCTTTTTTTTGTTTCTCATAGCAATTGGAAAGTTATGCTGGTGTTAACTGAACTACATTACTCTCTATTTCAGGTCTAATAAGAATGCTTACGGTTCAGCCAGATCTTATGAACAATAAAGGGTACCTGGAACGAACAGCAAGATATGCAATTGAGTGTGGTGTTGTTGATCAATGGTTGCAGGCACAAACCCGAGGATATCCTCCAAAGGATGACATGGAAGAAGAAGATGATGATGAAGAAGATGAAGTGGAATCAGATCCAAACGGTATAAGATCGATAACAGAGAGGGAATACCAAACCTCAAAGCCTTATGATGAACCAGATGGTCCATACGTTATGAAACCAGTAGAGGAAAGGGAATACAAGAAGTTAGAGCTTGTTGGCTCAATGTTTGAAGATGGTAGTTTATGATTTTCATAAGAACTGATATTATTTCTGTTAGTCAGCTTTTTTCCCTGTTCGCATCTTACAACATCTTAGTAGTGTGAATTTTTGTCATATGTTTTAATATCTAGACCATTATATTAAACACAACCTAGTGTACACTAGTGAGCTTAGAGAAGATATGTCTAACGGGATAGAGAAATGATCCAAAAACAGCAATGTGAAACCCTTAGAGACAATGAACTTCCTTTACTAGCAACTCTACTTCTACGTCTACTTAACTAATCCAAGTAGAGATTTATCTTCTTGTGATCTGTGAAAGGCAGTGTGATTCTCAAGTCCTTTTGTTTCCGGCTTAACGGTCTGCCTTTGCTTTCGGGATCTCTGTTCTCCTTCACATCTGCTAATTTCCAGACACAGTTATCCGATTCTGCATCGATAGACTCCAAGAGAAACACTGCAGTTTTCACTACTTTCCTTGAGTTGGTTTTCTCTACATAGCTTACTGTCATTGGCATCTCCTTAAATCGAGGCAAGTCCTCTGGAACTCTCAGCAGCCTCTCAGCTCCTGGAGATGACACCTTTACAGAAAAAAACAACACGGACACAAGATTTAGAACAAATTGACCCTGAGTGGTCGTTGATTCATGGAGAAAG